TGAGTTAGTTTCTTCATCAAAACAGGTTTGGAGAAATTTCAAGTTTTTTCAGGTTTGGAGTGATTTAATGCATTATTAAAATCAAAAGTTGTTTGTTAACATTAGTTTATGCACTGTGAACTAACATGAACTAACAATGAACAACTGTAGGATTTAAATACTGAAATAAATGTTCATTGTTTGTTCATGTTAGTTAACTCATTAAATGACACCTTATTGTAAAATGTTACCAATATTTTTTATTTGTGAACTGATGTTCAGCTGTTCTTTTTAATAGTCAACTTATTTTCGGGTCATCGTCATAAAAGCTCTGTAAACACTGCCACAGACACGAAGATACATCTTTCATTTCATCACGCTGAATGCTCACTAAAAACTGACGCAGTCATCACGTTTTCAGACCATTTCAAGTTTTATTTTGACGTGACACAAAGTAGTGATATCTAAGCGGGAGAGTTGTTTACTTACTTTATAATTAATTAGTCAATAACGACATAATTTTCTTCATTCAAACCGAGAGCTCGCACGAAAACAAGAGGCGGGATTTATCGCAGGAACCAATCGCATCCAATCATAACCGACCATATCCAATTATAGCGCGACGGAGGCATTGGCTCCTCTCACGTGACTTTCTCCCATTCATTTCAACGAGCCTCCAGAAAAGTCACGGCACGCTTTCTCTGACGCTCTGTAGAAAGTGTGTCGCTGTTTGACAGCGTTACTTTATAAAAACGAGTGACTTTTAATGCCATATTTAGTAATATTTTCGATTTATGTTTGTAATATCGATTATTTTCTCATCCAATTTTTTGAGGAGACACTGCTTCCCTTGCCTCCTCGGAGGTAACGCCCCTGTATATATATTAATAAGCTTGGAACATTTGCAGGATATTATGTATTGTTCAATTACCTTGAATATAATCAAAGGTACAATCTAAATGAATCACATCAATTAGTTTTGTATTCATAAAAATGATGGTGCAGTCACTTTAAGATTCAGCGATTAACCTATGTAGTATTTTTGTAAAGCTGCAAAGACGTTATTTCCTGACTACAGTCTATGGCTATCATATTATTTATTATTAGGGTATTGTAAATTATGTTTATGTTATAAAATCTTTACATGTATTAATACTACTACACATTTAATAGACAAAATGAATATATTTTAAAATTAATATGAATATTTAATAGAAAAAGAATTAAAAGATTTAACCTACATTTACAAAACAAACATTTAACCTAATAAATAGGCAGTAATCTATAGCTGTGATGCATAAGTATGTTTATTTATTTTGACAAGTATTAAATCTGAGTTTCATGAGCACAGCTAGAGATCAACACAGAAGATGAAAACACTGTCAATTCCTAGTTAAATTTATGACAGGCTTTAGCCACCAGGAGGCACTTCACACATACTTGTCAGACGTTTATCAAAGCTTTGTTGGCAGCAGACAGACTTCATTATTCTCAACCAACCGGGAGAAGGATAATATGATTCTGCACAGATGATCCTTACCAAGAAATATAAATATTATAATATTTAATATTTTATTCCACACTAACTTTATTCCATGCAAGGTATGCCCTATACTTTCAAAATATATTTAATAAAGTTCATTAATCAGATTTTAAAAATAGTTTAGCCTAGAGCTTTTGTTTAGTGTAAAATTTAAATCTTAATTATTATAATCCATTAGTCGATGTGTTTTCCTTTCTTAGGAGCATTTTAAAGTTGCCATTAAGAGAAAATGTACAGTACATAACCAAAATCTGGATTTATCCTCGTACTAACCTCGGGACTGTTATATCCATCAAAAGTACAATGAGCACACATTAAACAATAATGTACTCATCTTCAGGCCATCCAAGATGTAGATGAGTTTGTTTCTTCATTGGAACGATTTGTAGAAATGTACCAATGGATCCTCTGCAGTGAATGGGTGCCGTCAGAATGAGAGTTCAAACAGCTGATAGAACTAGAATTGTTTTGGACAGTTTTTGTTTGTAAACAACATGCTTGATCTGTGCATATTTCTTTCCTGATTCAGACAAGATAACTTTAGAGGGCCTGTATTTTAGCCAGAAGCAACGGCTTGAAGTTAAAAACGTCTTAATGATGGGTTTGTTTATTACAAACACAACACTTCAAAAGACATTTATTGATGGACTGGAGTCATACGGATTACTTGTGAATTATTGTGATGTTTTTATCAGCTGTTTGGACTCTTATTCTGATGGCACCCATTCACCGCAGAGGATCCATTGGTGAGCAAGTGATGTAAAGCTACATTTTTCCAAATCTATTCCGATGAAGAAACAAACTATTTAACATCTTGAATGGCCTGAGGGTGAGCAAATTTTCTGCAAATGTTCATTTTTGGCTGAACCAAAACCCCACAAAATAAAGTTTTGTCATTTGAAGTCCATGTATGTTAGCTTTGTTGTCATTTCATGAAGATACTAATATTAAGTATAATATTAAGATACTAATGACTCACATTAATCTGAGAAAGTGAACAAGTGAACTTTGGATCTCTCAGCAGGTGTCGCCCTAAAGTTTGCTCCAGCTTTGTCACCTAAGTTACCACACAGGTCTGGTTGGTAACCGTGCTGAATAATTGAGAGGGTAAGGCCGGACAAACTACACAGTGTTTCAGGAAGAGAGAGAGCTAGATAGAGAGAAATGAACCTTTTTTTTTTTAAAATTTAACTGTTGTTTTGCTAATAAGCTACACCCACACACATTTGCGAACACACTCAGTCATGGAGGGAAACGTGAATGAAGATGATGGGACTTTTACTAACATTTCACTAGCTGATGATTCAGGTAAGACTTGCCTTGTCTTGCTTTAAAGCTGATCTGAAACCAGTTTTCTTTGTCCGGTAACAATTCAGTAATATAACTGGGAAATGTGTGAATAAACACACGCATGTGCACATTAAGATGACAGCTATAATATGAATGAGGGACTTTCAGGGTTATAATAGTTAACTAAAACAAACCTTGTGCTATGCTGAAAATCATTGGTGTTTAAAAATTGCTTGTCTCTCATCCTATATTAACACCACATCTTGAATACAATCTTTTGGTCAACTTGTTTTCTTTCTGTTAGCACAGGTTTTGTTTTGCTTTTTGGAAGTGTTTGATAATTTTTTGGTCATAGACCTCATTGATCTGAGCTTATGCACCTCAGTTTTTGTGTGAAAAAAGCAGTGTTTGTGGTAAATTTTGGCAAGAAAATGTTCACTCAAAAACTGAGGTGAATAAGCTCAGATCAATAAAGCCAATGATCAATCCAATCCAAAAATAATACAAAACCTGTGCTAATTGAAAGAAAACAAGTTGATTTAAAGATTGATTCCAATATTAGTCCAATGCAATAATATCAACAGTATTTTCAGAAAAAAGAAAATCTGCTCCGGATCAAAACAACCAGCTTTGTTTAAACTGGTAAGTATAAGTTGGCACAATAACTTTAGCATCAAATGCTTTAGTGCTGTGCAGCATGTGGTTTTCTTGTCCAAATACAGGAATGAATGGAGAGGTATTGTGTCAACACATGCCAGAAACCTCCATTAGAGGCAGTAGGTGTGTGCTTGTGCACAGGGACTGCAGAGACGAGCTCACACATACAGGTGCATCTCAATAAATTAGAATGTCGTGGAAAAGTTCATTTATTTCAGTAATTCAACTCAAATTGTGAAACTCGTGTATTAAATAAATTCAATGCACACAGACTGAAGTAGTTTAAGTCTTTGGTTCTTTTAATTGTGATGAAAATCATGTTAAAGGCTCACATTTAACAAAAACCCACCAATTCACTATCTCAACAAATTAGAATACTCCATAAGACCAATAAAAAAAA